TGTATATATATATATATATATATATATATATATATATACATATACATATACACACACACATATAAATATTTTTCATTGGATAAGTAAAATTAACATAACAACTGGACATACGCAAAAAATATATAGCTAAACTTATACACATATTGCACATTGTGTAATTAAATAAATAGAAAAGTAGTAGAAATATCTTTATAAATGATGGCAAAAGAATGTAGTATACATATTGATAAAAATATCTAACATAATTACCGTAACTCATTGGCTCAATGAATATTTAAAAAAAAAATCGGCTTAATAAACATGTCAATGATTTATACCTAATGATTTATACCTAATGTATGTTTTATGGCATCCAGTGTGAAAAAAGTACAACCAGTTAGTGTATAAATATCAATAAAATGGAGATGTTACATTAATCCTTTTTTTTTCTTTTAAACGATTAATACAACAGGGGAGATTCTATAATCTATGGACACGGGGATAGGTTAAAACAATTGTAGATAATCTGCAATAATAAAGAAATTATTATTATATATAAAAGTTTAGGATATATAGACTAATTATTCTATTGTACGCATTATATCACGTTGTGCTAGTACGGTACGAAAGATTTTCCAAAAGCTACTATGGAATAATTAACATACATAAATTAATAATTAAAATCCAAAAAAAGAGTTTAATGCTATTGTATGTACATTTCATTAAGTAATTACCACTTAACCATATATATCTCAAATGCGTTAGTTCCCCCTTCTTTTTTTTTTTGTTTATATAATCTTCGCTAAAATATATTAACGGTCATTAATCCAAAATAAAATTTCATTTTAGATAAACTTCTATGTTGCCGAGATAGTTATGGAATGTGAAAGCTAATAATATAACAATAAAGTACTAACAGAATGAGAATGATTAAAACTGATTTCCTTTTTATAAGTATATAAAACGTAGGTTTAAATGTCATTTTGTATTTCTATTGTAACAAAGCGTATTAATGTTCGTTGTCGATAATAAAATCGAAGCTAAAGTGGATATAAAGAAGCTCGTTAGGATATTTCAAAAGGAGGAAAATGGCTCATCGGTGCTTCTACTTTTCACTATTAATAGTTTAGATAATTTTAGCTTTTATGAATCGCTTCATAATGTATATACCTCATTGCTTCACATGTCATGTGGAATATTTTGAAGAATTAAAGCCTTTAAAAGGGAAAAAAAGAAAAATAGAGGAAAAGCTATATCGTTTTTCATTAACGTGTCATACTGCATTCTTAAAGTCAAAGTAACGGGTAACCACTGTCTGAACTTGAATTCAAAATTACATTTTATTGTATCTTTTAGTATGGACTAGCATATACCATATACACATTCAATAGCTCACTTATAGTTTATAACTTATTATACACTCACAAACATTGATAAAGACAGTCATGATATCTTGTAGCATGTTTCATGACTGGTGAAGCTACAGCGCAAGCTCTATATATATATATATATATGTGTGTGTGTGTGTGTGTGTGTGTGTGTGTGTGTGTGTGTGTGTGTGTGTGTGTGTGTATGTGTGTAAGATATAATTATTTTTATTTGTTATGAACGGCTGGGTTCTTTCTCAGTTACCTCATAATGATTCTGACTGCGATTTTTGGAATTTTTCTACCATTCATACTGACTTTGCACGATCATCATTCTTCATTTTGTAAGGCTCGATGATGCAAGAGGTGCTTTTTCATCAACCGAATCTATTCCATAAATCAGATACTATCCGTCAAAATGCCCTCACTGAAGAGGATCAAATGTGACGCAAATATCTTACAACGCTTGGAAATAATTACCCGACGAAACTTCTCATTTCGACGAGAATTGCAGTGCTTATTTAAATTTATACAAACAGAACGAGTTTACTAAAAACCTCCTCCCCTCGCGCGCATTCGTTCAGATATATAATATAATTTATTAACAATCGTAGAAAAGCTAGAAAAGAATTCTATGAAAAGAAAAGAAATTTAAATGAAGAATATCAACAGATAATGTCAAACGGGTCTACTATACATCTATTAATCTACCCTCGTAAATACTTCAATAAGCCATACTTTAATAACTTGTATGTCTTTAAGTTATTTAAATGAAAGAAATCTATATATTGTTGCTTCTCTTTTATAAAATTTGAGAC